GCCTGAACTCTGGGCCTGGGCACTGTCCCTCAGCTCTTCAGCTCAAGGCTAATGCTCTACCACTTGAGCCACAGCACCACTTCCAGCTTTTTCTGTTTATGTGGTGCTGAGGAATGGAGCCCAGGGCCTCATGCATACAAGGCAAGCACTCTACTACTAAGCTATCTTCCCAGCCCTGTTCCAGAACTTTTGTGCTCAAGGCTAACACTCTACCACTTTGAGCCACAGCACCACTACTGGTTTTCTGGTGGTTAGTAGGAGATAACCAGCACTAGGCTCAGCATTTGCTTCTTTAAGAAAATAACAAAGGGCTGGGAAGGTGGCTCAGTGGTAGAGTGCTTGCCTTGCATGCATGAGGCCCTGGGTTCAATTCCTCAGCACCACATAAGCAAAAAGAAAAAAGCCGGAAGTGGCGCTGTGGCTCAAGTGGTAGAGCGCTAGCCTTGAGCTGAAGAGCTGAGGGACAGCGCCCCCGGGCCCAGAGTTCAGGCCCCATGACCGGTCCCCCCCCCCAAAAAAAAAGCAGATGGTAAGGGCCATAGCAAAGAGAGGGAATGATGTGAAGGGTCAATTTGGATAAGGCTCATAGCTTCTGTCACGGCAGAGAGCTGGGGGCCATTCAAGAAATTGTGTGGTAGAGATTAGAACCTGAAACTTTCCCTTGGACTCAAACCAGCTCCTCAGGGTCAACAGGACTCTCCGGCTACCCACCCCTGATATCCATCTCCTTACCCTTCCTAGCCGGGCATCCTCCACAGAGACCTCTCGGAAGAAGAAGTAAACATGCTCTCCATGTTCCAAGGCATGGACAAAGTGTGGCTCTAGGGGTGGGGCGGGAAAGGGGAGGGAAGAGCATTTATATAGCTGCTCAGACACTCTTAGCTCCTCCCCCTCTTCCCACTGTCCCCACACAGTCCAGCCTCCCTCCCGAGGCAGGCCCTGACCTCGGAGCCACTTGGAGTCGTACTTGGCCGAACGGAGTGGGGGCTGAGGCCCAAGGCTTCGGTAAACGACAGCATCGCTGGCCTGGAAATCTGCAGCGGTGGCTGAGTACAGACTGCCCTCTGAAGATATGGGGAGGCAGGTGAGGGAAGGGCTCAGAAGTCTGTTCCCTGTCTGCTGCGTGGGCCCCCACACCCTACCTAGGACTACCCTGGCCCCTATTTCAACCCCTCCAACTCAGAGACACAGAAAACACCAAGCTGGGGGAGGAGCTCCCGCCAGCCATATGCCGGCTCTTCACACGCCCAGGTGCACACCTGCGAAGATGGCCACATTGGACTGGGTGGCATCAAAGGGGCATCGAGCCTGCCCACTCAGCTCCTCACCCTCCTGCTGCAGCGAAGTTATCTGGAGACAGACGGAGCAGGTTCTAGAACCCTGGGTTCTGGAATCTTACTCTGCAGCCCCCTCGCCTCCTTCCCCAAACCCTCAGAATCCTTGCATGCCATGCATGCCCATTCCCAACCGCTAGTCCCTTCCCACCAAAGCGATCGCTCCTCTTGAGCTCTCCTCCCTACCCCGGCCCGCCCCAGACCTCCTCTGTACCCCATAGCTGCGGCACATAGGGCTGAACGAGTTTGTCCCACAGGCCAAGAGTGTCTGGGAGTCCCAGGGAACGAGAACACGAATGTAGTTGTAGCACTCGTCCTAGAGAATCCAAAATTCTACGTTAGTGATAGGGGACCCCTTGACTGGGATTGAGGGGTCACAGGAAGTAAGGTTACTATCCTTAAGCCAGTCAGAGTAATGTGGCTAAGCTCCCAGACTAAGCTATTTGCTAGCCTCTGCCCTCTCTGAGCTTCACTTTCCTTCCTTCCTTCCTTCCTTCCTTCCTTCCTTCCTTCCTTCCTTCCTTCCTTCCTCCCCGCCCCCTCTCTCTGTCAGTCATGGAGCTTGAACTCAGGTGCCTGGGCACTATCCCTGAGCTCTTTTGCTCATAGGTTTTCAAGTGATTAATTAGAGACAAGAGTCTCACGGACTTTCCAGCCCATGCTGGCTTTGAACTACAATCCTAAAATCTAAGCCTCCTGAGTAACTAGGATTACAGGTGTGAGTCACCAGCAACCGACTTTTCTTTCTCTCTCTCCTTTCTTTCTTTCTCTTCCTTCCTTCCTTCCTTCCTCCCTCCCTTCCTTCTTTCCTTCCTTCCTTTTGTTTTGTTTTCTTTCTTTTTTTGCCAGTCCTGGAGTTTGAACTCAGGGCCTGGACGCTGTCCTTGAACTTATTTTGCTCAAGGCTAGCACTCTACCACTTGAGTCACAGCACCACTTCCAGCTTTTTCTGTTTATGTGGCACTGAGGAATTGAACCCAGGGCTTCATGCATGCTAGCCAAGCACTCTACCACTAAGCCACATTCAGCCCCTCTTCGCTCTCTCTCTCTCTCTCTCTCTCTCTCTCTCTCTCTCGGGTGAGGTATCCAAAGGGAAATAAGAAGCAAGAGCTCCCGTTCCTCCCACTGTCCTCTGCGGGCTGGCAGCGAGAAGTGGGGAAGGAATTGGCCGCAGCAGAGCACCGCTCATCCGCTCATCCCCTCCTCACCGTCAGCTTCCCCCGCACCGCGCAGTTCTCCATATCTTGGCTCCTCCATGTTAGATACTGAAAGGAAACACAAAAGAAGGCAAACCATGGAACAACCTTGACCTGTCCGCACATTACAGCTCCTTTCAGCGCCTTCTCCCCACCCTCGTGCCCCCCAGGAGAACTCGCTCGGCCTCTTCTCCAGGCCTGCGCCTCCTCCCACACAGCGCCTCACCTTGTTGGGCACCAGCCCCTCTCCTTCTTCTTGGGCTTGAAGATCGAAGGAGAAAACGTGGTCCCTGAAGAGGCAGTAAGGAGGGATCAGAGCTGGGCCAACGCACCCTGCCTGAGCTTACCCGACCTTGCTCCTCATCACCTGCTTAGGGACAAACCACACGGACCTCCTCCCCTCCCCTCCCCTTTATTCCATGCCTTGGCATTTGTGCACTGGGTCCAAGCATGTCCATGTCCCATGGCTTGTGCACCTGCATGTGTCCCCTGCAAGATGCTGCAGTGGCCATGCAAGTCCCATGTCTGCCCAGGAGCATGCATGTGTGCCCCACAACTGGGCCTCGGCCAGTTTACCGGGCAGCCACTAGCAAGGTCCGGTTCAAAGTCAGGAATCTCTGAAAGTCCAACCCAAGTTCTGCAGCCACAGCATCATCCTCCAGGCCCCGGAACCAAGTTAACGGGGAAGTACCTAGAAGACACAGAGAAGCGGACTGCTGAGAGCAGCCAGGATGCTACCTTCTTCCTCGACTCCCTGTCTAACCAGTGACACACGGCCATGTACAGAGTGGAGAGGTGAAGTAAGAGGGGCCCCAAGGCTATTCATAAAAGTAATACCAGTGAGCCGGGAGAGTGGCTCCTGCCTATAATTCTAGCTACTTAGGAAGCTGAGATCTTAAGACAGAGCTTCAAAGCCAGCCTGGGCATGAAAGGCCATGAGATTCTTATCTCCCATTAACTACCAAAAAGCCAGACGTGAAGCTGTGGCTTAAGTTGGTTGAGCACTAGCCTGGACCAGAAAAACCTCAGAGACCGTGCTCAGGCCCTGAGTTTAAGCCCCCAAGACCTCCATCTCTACTACCACCACTCCCTAACACACACACACACACACACACACACAAATTAATACCAGTAACACTGAGCACTTAATTCCTGCCAAGCACTTGTTTAGTACTTTATTTGTTTAATTTTCTCTTGTGCTGATTCTGGGGCTTGAACACCGGGCCTGGCACTGTCCCTGAAGCTTTTGTGCTTAAAGCTAGTGCTCTACCATTTGAGCCACAGCTTGGGTTACATAGCACTTTAGATACACTGTCTCATTTACTACACAAACCCTCTGAGGTAGGTACTCACTTTGGCCCCATTTCACAGATGAGGAGCATAAGGCTGGTTGCATCAGGGAATTTAGGAGCTCATTTGGATTAGACTGTCTGATTCCAGAGCTGAGCCCAGTTTCTTCTTTTTTGTTTTTTTTTTGGGGGGGGGGTTCAGTCGTGGGGCCTGAACTCTGGGCCTGGGCGCTGTCCCTCAGCTCTTCAGCTCAAGGCTAGCTCTCTACCACTTGAGCCACTTCCGGCTTCTTTTTGCTTATGTGGTACTGAGGAATCGAACCCAGGGCCTCATGCATGCAAGGCAAGCACTCTACCACTGAGCCACCTCCCAGCCCCCACTTCTAGTTTTCTAATGGTTAATTGGAAATAAGAATTTCATGGACTTTCCTTCCTGAGCTGGCTTGGAACATGATCCTCAGATCTCTGCCTCCTGAGTAGGTAGGATTACAGGCATAAGCCACCAGCGCCCAGCTACTTCTGCCACTTCAGACCCACTCCATCTATCGACTTGGTCTCATCACTGAAAACACTGTCTGTGGCTTAAGTGGTAGAGCACTAGCCTTGAGCTGAAAAGCTCAGGGACAGAGTCCAGGCCCAGAGTTCAAGCCCCAGGACTGACCAAAAAAAAAAAAAAAGTAATTTGAACCCACTGTCATCAGTGTTCAAAGGAAACCGAGAGTTTAGGGATAGATCATTTTTTATTCATAAAATGCCACAGGGTTGCATCTGGCATTTTGTCAGTTATTCTTATCTGTCCCCCAACAATTACCTCCAGTATCTCAACTACATTTCCTTACTTCTTAAAATTACTCCAAGTCTTATATATAACTGGGCTTGTGGTGCACATCTGTAATCCTAGCACTTGGGGGGCTGAGGCAGGAGGATCATGAGTTCCAGACCAGCCTGGGCCTGAGAGTGAGACCCTCATCTCCCCCCCCCAAAAAAAGACCAAAACAACAATAACAAACAAACAGAAACCTAAATATATAAGCAAGGGCCTGTCAACAGATACAAGTTTTAGAAAAAGTGGGCTTCTAATTTCTGTCACGTTGGGACACAGGCTTATTGGTGGTACAAACAGTTGACGGGGAGGTAAGAAGTGTTGGGAACCACTGCAGTAGTCCCAGGCTTTTACTTTGTAGCCAAAAATAAAACAAACAAATATAAGGCATTTACTTCATGCCAGACAGTGTTCTCAGCACTTTACTTCATTTGTATCTATTACCTCATTTAATCTCCAAATAACTTTGTGAAGTAGAATACTATTATTATCTTCATTTTACAGATGAGGAGACTGAGGCATAGAGAGGTTAGATAACCTTACAAGGTCACACAGCGAATAACCAGCTTAGCAGATACTCAAGTATGTTCTGGCTGAGAGCTCAAGTTCTTTTTTGTTTTGTTTTGTTAGTAGGGTTTTTCTATGTAGCATAAGCTGGCCTTCAACTTGAGATCCTCCTGTCTCAACCTCCCCAGTGTTGAGATTACAGAAGTGCACTATCACAGGTGGCAGAGCTCATATTCTGTGTGTGTGTGTGTGTGTGTGTGTGTGCCAGTCCTGGGGCTTGAACTCAGGGCCTGGGTGTTGTCTGTCCCTGACCCTCTTTGTGCTTGAGCCACAGCACCACTCCACTTTTTGAGTGGCTAATTGACAGTAAGAGTCTCATCGGGACTTTTCTGCTTGGGCTGGCTTCAAACCACCATCCTCAGATCTCAGCCTCTTGAGTCGCTAGGATTATAGGCACAAGCCACCGGGCTTCCGGGCCACTCGACCCCTTTGAGCCACAACTCTACTTCCATTTTTAAGGTTAATGGGAGTCTCATGGACTTTCTTGCCTGGGCTGGTTTCAAACCCTGATCCTCAGATCTCAGCCTCCTGAGTAGCTAGGATGTGAGCCACCAGTGCCGGGCAATAGCTCATATTCTTAAATGATACTGCCTTTAAATAATAAAAAAAAAAATACAGACCCCAGGATGAGAAGTAACCAGTATCGGGTACCAGCTCACTCTGTTTCTTCCCCTTTGCTGGCTGGGCTCCTAGCTTCTCAGAGCCTTTCTGTACCTTGCCTCCCACATAGGGGTCTCAGTCTCCCCATGAGAAGGGCGAGGTGGGTAGAGGGCACTCACCTTGCAGGTCAGAGGTCAACAGAGGGAGGGGGTCCTGAGGAAAGGCAGCCTGGGTGTGGGGAAGTGACAGCAGCAGCAGCAGTAGCAGTAGCAGCAAGGGCATGAGGTAGGGGGCTCGGGGCATCCTGTGCGGGGCAGCTCAGGCCCCAGGGGGTGCCCCCTCACCCATAAGCTGGCCCTGAAAGGGGAGACAGAAAAGTGGGGGAAGAGACCCTTTCCTTCTACCCCTGTTGTAGGCCTATCCCCAGAAGACCTTGTAAGGTGGGGGTTAGAGCCCTCGTCGCCGCACTGTCCCAGTGCCAACCAGCTGTCACTGTCACTAAGGCTCTTCCCTCTCCAACTGGCCCAAACTGGCTTGTGTGAGCCCCCCCCCCATGACCCCAGGTAAGGACAGGACACGCTAGCTCCCATTCCCCCTCCCAGACTTCTCACTCTTCTCTCCTGACTGGCTGGGACACTCGGTAGGTGACACCTTCTGGCCCCCCTTGTGCTAACCCCTTCTCCAGCTATAATTAGACGCTGAAGCCTTAAAATTATAAATAGTGACTCCTTGGCACGAGGAAGAGGCAGAGGGCACCAAGTCTGCTCCTTTTCCCTCCCAGACCCCAACGGCACCCTGGGAGCAATGCAGGCACCACACCCAGGCACCCACAGCTGGGTGGCCGCTCCCAGCCTCTCTAGGGGTGAGGAAGACCAGAATGCAGGGGCAGATAGCCTGATGGGGGGGGGGTATTGTCTTGGTCCAAGCTTCTATTTCAGGGGTCCTTCCAATGCTAGGGAAGAAGCTGGGCAGGGAGGGAGAAAAGGGGGGGGCGACAATCTTAGCCAAAAATGAATCTGCATCAAAGCCAGATCAGAGGCTAAATTTAGCTCTGGCTGCAGCTGTCTCCTCGACCACTGGGCCCCCTCCCAGCCTCTCTAGCCCCTTATTCCCTCCCTGGTTCCTAAGGACTTGATTTGGGGGAGAACAGACCTCCTCCTCCCCAACTATGAGGAGCCGGGGAGAGAAGGGACTGGTGAAGCTTAATAGCTCAACGTGCCTCTCTTTTCCTTTCTTCCCTCATTGGGCTGCCTCTGAAATTGAAATATAAATAATTCAATGACAGGCAATTGTAGCCCAAAGTCCAGAGAAAAGACGGATATGGTGGAAGGGATGATGAGACGGGTCTCCTTCCCACTCATCAGCCCCCCCCAGCCAGCTGACCCTGGCTGGACCCACAGTGGGAGGCGCACACCAGCTTCCTGCCTTTTCCTGACATTGAAATGAGGGGCTGAGGAGGCGCCGGAAATCAGGTCAAGAAGGGGGAAGCATCCTTTCTTTTGTGAACAGATCACAGCCAGCCCATGTCCCCCTCTAAAGAAGAAACCCTGGGTTTAAAGTCCAGTCTCTTTCCATCTCCCCAGTAATTGTGCTCTCGAAGCCAGGACCCATTGTCCCCCACCCCCATTCCAGCGTCACTGGTGGGGAGGCTGACGTCAGGTGGAGCCCCATGAGAGCGGGAGGAAGGGAAGGGGTAGAAACACCTAATGATGACCCCCTCTTCCCCAGAGGCAGACAGTCAGCGAGCTAACGACCCTCCGGTGTGGCAAAGTCTAGCCTCCTTCTCTCCCGCAGCCCATGATTCCGGATGCTGCTGCTCCCAGGGGAAGAGAAAGGGACACAGCTTGTCTCCTGTGCTCCCCTACCTGCCCCCCCTCAAGTTGCCCAGGGCAACTGGTATCTTCACCCTGGAAACAACTTTGGTCTCTGACAAGTGGGGAAAATAGCCAGACCCTCTTCCTGCTCCCTGGCAGTGGCCTGCTTGTAGCCCCTGTCCCCAGGTCTCGGCTGCCCTTTCTTACCTGGGGTGGGGAGTCCTGTGGGGGACTGGAGGGGGGCTTAGGAGACCTCTGACCTGACAGAAGAAGGGACAAAAGGAGGAAAAAGACTAAGTTACACTTTGCTGAACACATCCCTTAAAAGTCAATGTGAGAATTCAGGCAAAGTCTGCTGAGGCTAGTATCGGGGAGATGCTGCTTTGGGAGGGGGGCCTCGTGGGTGAGGAGGGGTGCTGACATTTAGTTCGGTGACAAAGGCACTGACGTCTTCATACTGGGGAGAGCCCCGAGCCAGAAGCTGCGGAAAGCTGGGTACCAGCCTTGGGAAAAGGGGTGCCCCCGGGAGAGTTTGTGGGACACGATGACCACTCCCATGTTGAAACCTTCAACATCCAACAGCATTCTCAGCAAAAAGCGCCCTAGCTAGGGACAATAGAGGCTCATTTACATCTCATTTGCATGCTCTTCATTTCCAGGCAAAATGCTCTGATAGCGAGCACCCCCCTCACATACACCCCAGTCCCTTCTTCCTTCAGAAAGCAGGCCCGGCCCCTTCCACCAACCTCTCCCCACACCGCCCCCCTCACACACACTTCAGGCTGGCTTAGTCCAGCCTCTAAAAACACTTGGTTGGCCTTTGCCTCGGCCCAGGAGACTCAACTGTGATACATCTTTAAGAGGACTTCCCATAGCTGCTTGGGGGAAGCAGCATCTGGGTGGCTCCCACCCAACCTCGGGTCTGGGTGGGGGAGAGGCTCACAGGGACTTGGAGGAACCCTAGGAACACACCTGGCCACGCTTTCCTCCCCTTTCAGATCCCCCCCCCCAGCCCCCAGGCTGGGAGAAGGACTCAGCCCTCCTGTCGGTGGGGCAAGCAGCCACCTCTGGGGAGTGGCCGAGGTCAGAGCCAGAGTCTAGCGGGGCTGAGGAAGGGACCGAGGAGGCCGGGCTGGGGACAATGGCAGGAAGCCCTGGGGCTGGTCTCCCGCCTCAGCCCATCTTCTTTAGGGGGCGTCGGGGGCGCGTTCGGATCTCCAAGACCTTTCCCCTTCGCCCTTCTGCGCTCGGCCCCTACCCTGCCTCCCTCCCACCCAGCCCCCAACGAGGAGAAGCCAGGTGTCCCCAGCTTCGCGGGCGGCGGGGCTCCGGGCCAGGGGCTCGACGTCTCCCGCTCAGTGAAGCTAAGGAGGGGCGGGCAGCAGAGTCTGGGCCGGGACCGGGTCCCAGAGCCACGTTAGCGGGAGGAGGGGCTGGAGGGGCCTGCAGGCGCCGAGCGGCGGGGACCGAGCGGGGGTGGGGGAGCGGAGGCGGGTCTCCCCGGCCCCGGGAACCGGCGCCAGAAGCCGAGCACCAGCGAGGGCGGGCCCCGGGGCCCCGGGCCGGCGCTGAGCGGCATCGCCGAGCGGCGATGCCCGGTTCTCCTCCTCCTCGGTTCTCCTCTTAACAAAGCCCTGGACCGAGTAGGGGGCGAAGGAAGGAGACGGGAGCTGGGACGATGCCCCAGACCCCGACTCTGCTCAAGCCGATCCCCCAGGGAGTGCTCGGACTCCTGCTTGCACAAGGACGAAGCTGCAGCCCTGACACCCAAGTCCGAACCACACATCGCCTTTGGCATCCCTGCAGGGGCCTCGGGAGTCTGGCCCTCCGCGGGTCTCCGAGCCTCAGTTTTCCCTGCGGAGGAGGCTGGGGGGGGGGCGGCTTTCCACCCTCTGCACCGTGCGCGCCTCGGAAAAAAAAAATCCATCTTGGCGCTCCTGGAATCTTGCAGGAGGCGACACAAGTGAGAATGGTGGGGAGAGGAGCACGGAGCGCAGCCCCAGCGCCCAACAGTGCGGTGGGCGGGGAGGGGGGCTCCGCCGCGGACCCCTTCCCCCCCCACAGCACCCAACTCTGCTGACCCCCCCCTGCAAGCCGGTGACCCCTCCCGGGTCGCTGTGGCACAGCGGAAGCCAGACCCCGACCTGCAAGCGCCCCCGTCACACCCCCCACCTCTCCACTCCCGCCCCGGGGTACTTGCTCGAGATCCGGGTCAGTAGGCTCGAGATCGAAGCAGGCGGTCAGCAGCTCCGCGCCGTGCAGAGTTCGAAATCCGTGATTGGGGCTCAGGTGAGCTGGGATGAGCGTCCCGGTTGAACGGTACTTGGATGTGGGCGCCCAGGCGCTGTCGGGTTAGGAGAGCCCAGGGTTCGAGTCGCGGCCCCCACTCCCTCCTCGGATCCGCGGAGGAAAACAATGCGACCGCCCGGAGCTCTGGGCTCGGCCCCAGCGGCCCCGCCCGCCTCCTGGCAGGACCCGCCTCCCGCCCGCCTCTAGGTTGCCTCAACTAATCGCGGCTTCAGAGGTCGCCTAGACTCCGCCTTCTCTCCACCTTTTCACCAATAGCATGGCTCGAGGGCGGAGCTCCAGAAGCACCGTCCACCCAGAGGGCGGAACCTGGAGGGTGAGACTGGGGCGAGATGGAGAGACCCCACGGACAGTCGCTGAGACCCTCCCCCCGCCCGCCCTCCTCCCCGCTCCGACAGAAGAGGAGACACACACCGAAACAGACAAGCTGGCAGAGGAGAGGCCCTGGAGAGAAATGTCATAAGAGAGGAGGGAAAAGAAGCTGAGGGAAATAGAGACAGGAAACCTGGGGGCCTCGAATGGGCTGGGCTGTCAGAGCCTGCGCGGCCCTCCCTCACTTCCCTTCAATGGCTTTGGCGACTACGTTCCCTAGGGGTTCCTCCTGCTTCTCCTGTCCTCTGCTCCAACCCTCTGTTCCTCCTCTATGTGCTTTTCCCTCTATATATGCCCATGTGCCGCCTCCAGCTCATCCTGACCCCACTAGGAAGGCCTAGCTCATATTTGGGGGCTTGAAGCCTGAGAAAGAAAAGAAAGTGCCCATGGTATGTTTTCCTTGTCCCCATCATCTCCTCCCAAAGCAGGATGGACTTGGGCCACCATACCCAAGTCAGGAAACTAGTGTTAGTAGTCAGGCTGCTGGCTGATGGAAGAAGACAGGTGAGAGAGCTGAAGCCAAGAGAGAGACATGGAACTGAGCCTAACTGATTCAGAGAAATAGAGAAGGAAGAGCCACTCTGCAGATCTAAAAGGCATAAAGTGACCAGCTAGCCTATCTTCATTCTATGCCATTAGCGCAGGCTCAGTAGTATCCCACCTCTCCTGGGAGGATCTTGAACATCCCTCCAATTAGCAAAACTGCTCCTCCATAAAGACCCTTCGATTTTAGGAATGTCCATGAGAAGGGAGAATAGGCAACTTCAAACAGTACTGTTGGTTTCCACCTTAAAATTGGCTGCTAAGATTCTTCCCTGCGTGGGGCTGGAACAAAAGACATTCTC